GTTGTGGTGGTCAATTTCCAGTAGGGAAAGGGGAAGGCCAAGAAATTGAGATTTTCCTCGGGAATGCCGGAACTGCAATGCGACCTCTTACCGCTGCTATTACCGCCGCAGGTGGCAATTCAAGGTCTGTCCCATTATTTTCGTAGTTTAGTAAAGAAAAGTTTGCATATTCTAGGAACCATATGCTTGTATGCTGATGCTCCTTGTTTTTGTGTATAGTTCTCATTTTTAGCTAATGCATATATGTTACATGTCTCTTTAGCTACATACTTGATGGCGTACCCCGAATGAGAGAGAGGCCAATTGGGGACTTAGTTACTGGTCTTAAGCAGCTAGGTGCAGATGTTGATTGTACTCTCGGCACAAATTGTCCCCCTGTTCGTATAAATGGAAAGGGTGGTCTTCCTGGGGGAACGGTACAGCTTAAATTATTTTTGTTACTGTTCTAGTGGTTTTATATTGTCAGATAAACTGTTTTTATGAAGTAAATGTCTGAAACTTTTTACTACTTGTGATGTTTAAGATTCATGTTCTCTTGCTTATTTTAATTTCCTGGTTAGAAGGAAAATACTATATTTTGATCAAGATAAATAGGAATATGACTATGACATAGCTTCTGGTGTAGTTGCCAATATTCATGATATTCTTCTGCTTTGGGTCCTTTTGCAGGTGAAACTCTCCGGATCTATCAGTAGTCAATACTTGACTGCTTTACTCATGGCTGCTCCGTTGGCTCTTGGGGATGTGGAAATTGAGATAATTGATAAACTGATTTCAATCCCATATGTTGAAATGACTATCAAATTGATGGAAAGGTTTGGGGTCACTGTGGAGCACTCAAATAGCTGGGACCGGTTCTTTATCCGAGGTGGTCAAAAGTACAAGTAAGTTTCTAAACATGCACTCACAATCATCGCCACACGATTCTGTACTCTGTTTTGACAAAAGTCATAAAACTGATCTATCTTTCAGGTCTCCTGGAAATGCTTACGTTGAAGGCGATGCTTCAAGTGCTAGTTACTTCCTTGCTGGCGCAGCTGTTACTGGTGGGACGGTCACAGTAGAAGGATGTGGTACAAGTAGTTTACAGGTACCTTTTTTATTGTTAACTCCATCAATGTTATTAAGTTTCCTGCCAAAGTAAATGTATATTTCCAGAATCAGTGGAGTCTCTACATTTGACTTCTTACAACATTGTTTTCTGCCTTTCGGAAGTGTTGTTGAATTGTATGACCGTTTTTAAGGCTGATCTCAGTTTCCTTTACGTTGACTATTCCAGTTGGTTCTTCCACTAGAGTTATTAATGCTTCCTTGGATCTTATGCTGCATCTGAATATAAACTCATGCTTGTTTTTCTTTTGTTAAGGGTGAATATAAAATTTGCTGAGGTTCTTGAGATGATGGGCACCAAAGTCACCTGGACTGAGAATAGCGTAACTGTCGCTGGACCCCCAAGAAATTCCTCTGGAAGGAAGCACTTGCGTGCTATTGACGTCAACATGAACAAAATGCCGGACGTTGCCATGACTCTCGCTGTTGTTGCCCTTTATGCCGATGGTCCGACCACCATAAGAGATGGTATTATATTGCTTTTTTGTTTCTCTAAGATGAACATGTTTTAGTATGTATGAATGACATCAATGTGAAACTTATGCCCGAAATGCCTTCTAATTAGAGTCCGTATATACCTTTTGAAATATGTTTTTTTCCTCAACTAATAACATCTTTGGTTTTCTTCAGTGGCAAGTTGGAGGGTGAAAGAGACTGAAAGGATGATTGCTATATGCACAGAACTCAGGAAGGTAGGTTCGAGCTGGTTTTATGCTTATTAACAGAACCGGTAGATGATGCTAGTTTGCCTTTCCCCCCCTTAACTGTCTGTTTCATATCTCAGCTCGGAGCAACAGTTGAAGAAGGGCCAGATTATTGCGTGATCACTCCACCCGAGAAATTAAACGTGACACCTATTGACACTTACGATGATCACCGAATGGCCATGGCATTCTCTCTTGCAGCCTGTGCAGAGGTTCCGGTTACCATCAAGGATCCCGACTGTACCCGCAAAACCTTCCCCGACTACTTTGAAGTTCTCGAGAGGGTTGTGAAACATTGAGTGGCGCTTTTACTGTGTCATACTAGAGAAGGAAAGAAGAGCATGAGAGATAGGTTCGACCAGTGTCCTTAAAATCATAGGCTGAAAACAGTTGAACCCCGTCTTCGATATCATTTCTTCCCAGATAGCTTGTTTTCTATTTATTATGTGTGAGTACTTTATGTTTGATTCGTTTCACACAGACTTGTAATAATGTTAGACAAATAATATGGAGAAGATATAAAATAAAAGTTCAATAACTAATGAAGCCACAATTGTCATGGTAATGTTATATATGAGCATCGAAGATCATGACTCAAATTTTATATAAACCGTCTCTCTCAAAATCAAGTGTATATAATTTAATTTCGAAAAGAAGAAATTCTTTTTATAGTGCAAGTAGAAGGGGGAATTGACCTGGGAGAAGTCATCTTCATGATTAATCATGGCATGTATGTACCATTTGTATCAATCCAACAATATCGACAACTTGTAACCTCTCGAAAACTATAATCTGTAAATATATTCATCTTGTCACGAAGACTTTGCTTTTAAAATACGGGGAGCTGATTATATCTCATATTATTCATCTATAAATAATTTAAACAGAAAGTCGAGATAGATTTGTATATGTTGCATCAGCCATCTCAGTGTACGGTAATACATAACAAAATCAAACACTTGCAGTGTATTCTATTGAGCACATACATTAATCGGAGATTCGTTCAAAACTAGAAAACATGTTTTAATGGGTGGGTCCATTCTTTCAACTTGTAGTAGTACCTCAGTATTTTGACTTTCTAATTTTTTATTTTTGTCATGAGAAATACAACATGGCCAACTTTTATCAAATTTGAGCTTATCTCTTCTTTTTGGAGGTTCAACAAGTTCACCCAATAAAATAATATATTAAATAATTTTATCCCTCCAAAGGAAATGAAGGTTTCTCGTCGAGAACCTCCTCTCTCTGTCCCGGAGGATGTGAACTAGGGACTCGAGGATGAACTCCGATGGTTTTACGTCTAATTCAAAAGGATGGATCACAAACAACCATTTCGTCTCTTTCATTTTCAACCGATTAAACCCCCATAAGCGACACTTAATCTCTCATATGTATATATATATATATAAAGTAACTTTATAGTCCATCAGGTGGCTGGAATATGGTATACGTTGGCTGCAAGGATCTTCATCACTTTTGTACGTGAAACCCTTTTTTCTTTTTAATCATTAATAATAATCATCGACAAAGTTGACGTTTCCGTACATACAAGTAAGTGTTGGAGGAAGCAAGTACAGTTTTCTCAAATCAAATATATACGGCATAGCCCTCAACTTGCTGGCTGCTGCAGCACGGTTTGCCGAGCATCCCCAGTTGGTTCACAATTCTCTGTTATCCAATTTAAGAAGTGGGTTCCCTTTCAACTCCCCTTTTTCTTAGGTTAAAATCAAACTAAATTAGCCCTCAAATTTCTTCCAACTTGTCTATCAAATTGACCGTGTGTTCAAAACAACCTAGGGTTTTAGTATATTAAAACTCATAAAGATGAGTAACGTCTCTTTTCTTCAACTTGTTAGCTTGGAGTGCTTAGCAGTCTCTTTAATTAATCTTGAATCTCTCTTGTATCGGATTGTACGTACGTCAATATTTTATATAAAAAGTAATCACTCTCCTTTTATTAGTCATAACAATGCTAAGGCTAGAGCTACGTATGATGCATACCTACAGGTTTTTCAACATTTGCAAATGTCAACGGCTTCACAATGAGGGCGTCAGGTTCACTGCTATTTAAAAACCAACTCTGCCTGCCCACCATTTCTATCTCTCTCAAACTCCAACAGCATCACTAAATTTTGTTAGAAAATCTCAGATATTATATATAAATCTTTAAAAAAAAAGTGAAGAGAAATTGAGGAAAGAGTTTGCTAGACGAAGGATGAAGCTGGTTTGGTCTCCAGAAACAGCTTCAAAAGCTTACATCGACACTGTTAAATCAGTAAGTTAATATCCCTTTGTCAATTCTCATAGCTTTGTGTTTTCTTTCAGTCTTATTCTAATAACGATTGCATTAAACTGACTTGCAGTGTCGAAATTTCAAAGACTCCGGCGTAGCTGAGTTTCTATCGGCCATGGCTGCAGGTTGGAACACGAAGCTGATCGTGGAGTCATGGTCATACGGTAGTCCCATAGCAACCAGCGTCGGACTCGCCATAGCAGCTAATCACACGTGTGGTAGGCACGTGTGCGTAGTACCTGATGAACGGTCGAGATCAATCTACGCCGAGGGCATGCAGGGAGCCGGGATATTATCGACGGTGGTGATCGTCGGCGAAGCAGAAGAAGCGATGGAAGGGCTGGTGGGTGTTGACTTTCTTGTGGTGGACTCAAAGCGGAAGGACTTCACTAGGGTTTTAAGGTTCGCTAAGCTGAGTCACAAGGGTGCAGTTTTGGCATGCAAGAATGCATGTCGGAGAGCCATTTCTGGGTTCAGATGGCATTGGGTGCTTGAGAGAGGGACACGAGTCGTGAGATCTGTGTTCTTACCTGTGGGGCAGGGATTAGATGTTGCTCATATAGGGGCTGATGCTGGAGTTGGGGGAGCCAAGAAGAATTCTAGCCGTTGGACCAAGCATATCGATCAACAATCAGGAGAGGAGCATTTTTTTCCAGGCTAAAATTTGGTGATATTTTTACTACTCTTGAATTTGGGCAGTCCTCTGCAAATATCAATAAAATTTTGCTCCCTATTCGCTAACAAGGACGAGAATGGCCTATTCGATTCAGTGTTTATGTATTTTAATATATAAACTTATGTCATATTTTGTAGTTATTTATTTAATAAAATTAAATACTTTTATTATTAAAGAAGCATCTAACTTGTTCCAAAAATTACATAGCTAGATGGGTGTTACACATTGGTCACTAGGTCCAATAACTTGTCTACAACTTAGTTCGAGTAGGACATAGCATATAAGTTAACCTTTTTTTCCTTTTTTTTTCAGACAAGCTCGAGAGCTTGTCAAATACCAGGAAAATTTAATATTAATTGAAACTAAAAACATGGTGAAGTGATCCTAAAAACATGCTCCTCACCGGTCCATTCATCTATTTTAACAATCCAACGGCTTGTTTTTCTGCTGTTAAATCTATCACCAGCTTTACTTGTAGCTTTTCTAATTACCAGCAAACCTTCCCCGATGGGCAGAAAGTGGGTTTTTATATTCGTCAGTGTTCCAACATGGTCCCTTCTGAAGGGCATTGTACCCCACAATGAGGGCACCCTCGTGTTTTGCAACCTCTTGTGCTGCCTCTAATACTTCCTTGTGGTCATTGACATTGCAGTCGATAAGCAAGAAATCTGCGGTTCTGTAATCATTTAGAAGCCTCTTGGCATCTCCTATGACAAAACTTAAAGAACCTCCGTAGTTCCCTAGTGCATTTTTGGATGCAACGTAATCGTCGAGACTATTTAAGATGCACACCACTTTGCCGCTCGTTTGACGCGCCGCCGCGATCAAGGCTAGTGCAGTGGATCCGACAACGCCGGCACATGTCATCACCATGAGCTGCGCGTTGTTGCCTGCTGCCATGGCGGATATGAACTCAGCTACGTCAGGCTCTTTGCCTCTTTTTCCCTGAAAAAAACATCCATAATAATGAGAATATATATATACACACTTTCAGAATCAATCGACTATGTAGCTATTGCTTACCATTTTCAAGGCTCGGAGGTAAGCTTTGGTGGCGTTCTCAGCAGACCAACAACCCATTCTTTGTTAGGGTTGTCTTGCTTGAAAATCTTGAAGTTGGAAGTTTGCTTGATAATCATAACCTTTGCCATTGGTTTTATTTATACTACGTGGGGAGACCCGGCATCATAGTCATTGGTATTATTAATATATTAATATTGGATTATTACTATCATATTTGCATGCAAGCAACTAAGGTAGTGACGCCAGATATAATAGTGATTATCCTGCAAGCGCTCTAACAGATGATTCACAAGAGAAAATTCGCCCAAAAAAATCCAGAGAAAAAAAGTCTCTAGGGTTTAATAAAATATTATCAAATCAAACAATGCCAAAATCAGTCCACAAGCCAGACTATTATAGCAAAAAATCGTCTTTATTCGAATTTTGCCAAAAATAGCAAAATCCCGAAAATCACTCTAAATTGAAATTCGAAATAAAATAAGCAATCTCCAAAAAATCCGGCCTAAATCGGATTTAAATTTACTTCCTAATTGACAATCGAAATATTACCATAAATAGTAAAAAATATCTAATTCTAGTGATTCGGAGGGAAAAACGGCAGAATTTGATGTTGAAAAAAGGCCACATGGAGCGTAGCTCATGTGGAGAGCGTGCGCGTCGAAAAGAGCTTTCCGGATTGGGGTCTTATGCGCGATTCTGACACTTGTAGCCAAAGTTATGACCAAAAGACTGAAACATACTCAAAACGACCCCAATGAGGAACATGTCACAATCAATTCCGCCTTTGCGTTGATCTGCCAATTCATGGTATCTCAGCGCCATCAAGGTGCAATTTGACAGCTCAGAATCATCTGTCTCGGATCCCCTGCATCATGTAGGTTCTTCTTGGATATATTATGGCATGAAAACTGGCAACACAGGCTTGTAAACGAGACAAAACATGAACGGTATTGAAAATGAAACATGAATGGGGAGTTTAGTTTGTTTGTCCATCATTCAGTGTATGTTGAATTAATATGCAATATCCAAATCATCCAATATTCCCCAATGGCCTACAAGGAAAGGGACAGGTTTAAATGTTAGTAGCTCGGACGTTAAGACATCATTATCTGGTATGGAGCAGTTTGCAGCCTCTTGTCCATTTCCTGTCTTGTTATGGGAATAATGTCTTGCCGACCTACTGTGGATCACAGTTAACCTGGTCAGAGATAAAATTTTGACACAATGGCGATAAAATTGGAATAGGAAATTTCCTAAAGACTAATAGTATATATGAGAAAGAACAGTTCTGCTTCTGCTACATCCAATGTGTTTGCAGTGTTAAGCCAACAAAGGGAGCTGTACAACCTCGAATCTATAAAGAAAACCACTTTCGGCCCACAGTTTTTCAATCTATATAACTTAAAAACTTTATTCTAAAAACGAAGATCAATAATAAATGTTATGAATAAAGCATTGAGCAGAAATGGAACATGTGGGCAGTGACCCCCACATGTTGCCAACAAGTCCCAGGGACAGGTCCCCGCACCAGACGTAAGCCCCCAGCTCTTGTTTATAATTTTGCGACCTTCCTAGATGTAGCTCAAATCCTAGAAATTGTGAATCGTATTGGAATTTGATTTCTACTTCTTTTACGCCATTCCCAAAATATTCACATATTAGCTGTAATGTCCTATGAACCACAACAAGAGAACTTTTAAGTAAACTTTAATGCTTCAATGGAATTTCAGAAACAAAACTCTCCAATTTTCCAGAAGACAGAGACCAGATTTAACCTTGAAAAATTACCATAGTTGTGGAGTTTACTTGGTTGATTCCCACATAAACAATTAGCTTCACCGGCCAAGGGAATCTATAATAGTTTTAATAACAAGAGAAATGGTTCAAAAATTGAAAGCTTTGATGCGCGAGACCAATCAAGTTGACATATAAAATACGCTAGAATAAGGTTACATTATTGATTATTTCCCCCCAACAGCCAACACTAGAATCTAAGTAAGATTACCTTGTTTTTAAGGCATATGCATTGACAATCACATACTACTACACATGATCTTACTGTTTGTTAAATGGTCTAGCAATTCTTTTTATTTCTTTTTTAGCACTCGTGACAGGTTTTTACTTGTCTCTGCCTTTTTAATCTGTCGTCTTTGAAAGAGAGTTCGTCGACCTGCATGGTTGTTCCTTTTAGGCTTTGGGACTGTTGAGGATGTTTTGTATTGAAATTGATTTAAATTATTATTTTTTATAATTATCTTGAGTTTTGCATTGAATTTGAATTCGGGTCTGGTTTAAATTGTAGTTGACCTATATTTATCCTAGTCATTTTTCCATGAGAAGGAACATTTAGCACGAATTTGACCGCAGAGTAGTGAACCTGTACATGTAAAATGAACATTCAGACAAATTTTGAGTAACAAACCTGTATGAATTCAAGAGAATACAGGAGGCTGCCATATCTATAATTACAAGTAAGTTTATCCAAATTTCCAGGTTGTGGATGAGGGTTTGACTTTTTTTAGAACTCTTGCGAATCAAAATCAGCCTTTGATGATAATTCAAGACCCTGAAGTGCTGGCATTAGGCGTAGATCCTCGTCTGAATAAGTTGGAATAAACCAGTATCGCTTGTCTGTTCCAAACACCTGCATAAGCACAAAAACTTGAGTAAACCAACGAGTGATGATGACAGTTAATATTTGCCAGAGAGACACATTAAACAAGCGGGAACTCTGATTTCAAATGTTTCGGATTTTGACCATAACGGTCATCAAATGAACATTATATGAATTGTTCTTTTTTGCAATAATGCATGTCAAAACAATGGAAAACAGCAACGAACTGAAAAACGCAGTTAACCTGTTCAAAATTTTTCTTTCGGCCAAGGTCATAACGCCATTTTGGAGAGGTTTTCTTCTCATATGCCTGCTCAAAAAACCAAAGATTTTTTCAGTAAATCTATGTCCATTTATATTGCATTTTGATCCTAACAAGGGTGAATAAATACAACATATCTGGCCGGAAGATGGACCTAAATTCTCACTATGATTTCAGTCGATGTGATTTCTGTTGTGGCATATGCATTTTGATTCACTCTTGGTATTATGGCATAGTAATAAACTATAATGACATCGCAATAAACAAAATTCAAGATGAACACAATACCTCGATAGTTGTGGTATTAGCAGACACCAAAGATGCATGCATGATCAAAAACCCCAAGACAGACAATGCAAACGCGAGATTCAAAACTGACAAGAGAAAATTGTCATATATTAGTGCATAGACAAAGTCAACAGAAACAAAAAAAAATAGTCGAATGAGTCAAGAAGACCACTGGTCAAGCAACCTACATACCAAAGGAAAGAAAAGTTGTAGCGAGGGTGCTAGGAGTTCCAGGAATTTCCTCATCACTGAAGAATGCGAGGAAATTAGACAATAAGGCCAAAGTCACAAAACTTGTCTCGAGGAATGTGTAAAACTGCATCAAGTATTAAAGACAAAGTCCAATAAATGGCAAGAAAGCAGAAGCATTACTCCAGCAACATCTAATAAATGAACCTATGTTACAATCATCAATTCAGAGAGGTAAGACTGCGAGTGCGAAAAGTAAAAAAAAACACTGCAAACTCGATTTATGCATTTGAAAATTTGACCTTCTTGAAGATAAGACTAATATAGCACGTAAGAACTAGAAAGCATAAAATGTATGAGAATCTAAGATGAAAATAAAGGAGACGTACCAAGAAAAGAAGGAAATACTTGTAATTTTGTGCACCGACACAATTGACAACTCACACACAATGATGGTCCATCTTTAGCACACACCTCCCACCTAAAACAATGAAGTCGATGAAAAAGTGATAATCTAGAATAACAGTATAATAAGTTGATCAAGAAAAGGAACGAAGAAATTTTGCATATGAAGAACGTACAAACAGAACAATGATGGCAGCGTGGTGGTTTCAGGTGGTTGCACTTCCGACAATATCGAATTCTTTGATTCGATGAGTCTGGCTGCAAACCATTGAACTCCGGATCATTCAACTGGTCAGTCTCCCCTCTTTCCTCATCCGCAGCTGGCCTCCAGTTAGGTGGCACACTACCCGGATCAGTCAAAACAACAGAAAAGTAACTCCACAACAGCAAAACCAACTGCAGAATCACATCAAAATTTCCACATTTAGAGTCAGTTTCCATCACACTTAAAATCATCAATTGTTTATATATATTATTTTAGCAATTTGATTACATTAATCACAATTCCATAACCCAATTTATTATTTTAGCATCTAAAGTCATAAACTATGTCCAAAAAGGAAGCTCGTATTTTAAGTTTTAAAATACTTCAGATGTGCTCTTGTTCTGACAAATAACAGATAGAAAGAACTACGAAATTTTAACCGATTCACAACACCGCAGAAAAAAGGAAGACAATTTAGATCAAGCACAAAACTCAAGCTTGAATATTTTTAGATACATTGGCTGAATTCAATTTAAATATGGAGATGATATTTAGCGAAATAGCAGACCAAAAGGATATGTTAAACTTGTAGGTACCTAACCCAGAAGCACAATATCTACAATCGAGCAAAACCACTCCAAAGAGAGAAAAAAAACAAAGAAGAGAAGAGAGTTAAACTTGGAGACTTACCAAGCAATGAAATAAGATCAAAACAACAACAGCCCCGAGGGACTGAAAGCCACCATCGAACAAAGCAGGGCCATAATTGGTCACAACGAAAGAGTAGTATGTAACACCCACGACCCCTAAAACCAACAGCATCATGATCGAGCCCAGACCCCTCAGAACCGTACAAAACTTGAATACGTTCCACGCCATTGTTGTTCCAGATCTATGCATAACACCCAGGTAATTGATAACAAAAAAGAGACAGAAGTTTTATCTTTTTCTCTCTCTGACAGTGCTAACAGTGTCACAAGTTGAGATAATTGAGAAGAGTCGATAAGAAAACGGGGATAACAATAGAATAAGAATAGCAAAGAGGGGTTTTTTTCCTGAGATAAAATAAGAAATCTAGGGTTTATGGGATTCGGGAATCCAGGTAAGGAGTGGAATCCATGTTGCTAGACAAAAACCAGAGCGAGTCAGGGAGATAATTATGCTTATTTTTATTTAATTTTCCGACTCAAACCCAAACGGATTGGGGTAAACGCGGCACAGTTGACTTA